CAGAGGAAGAAGTTTTGAGGGGGGGGGGGGAAGTGGTCGTAACTTGAAATTTTTTTTCGCAACTGGTAGGACGTACTCTGGGTGAATTACACCGGTAGAGTGAGATGAGAAGGCTCTCTTACTTTGCGAAAGTAGCAAATCCACGATTTCGAGGAACTTGCAGCAAAGGGAAGTAGAACTAACGGCCTAAAAGAAATATGACATGGGTGAGTGCACGACTCGCTAGTGAGTGGAGCCAGTCAATTCCTATCTAATCCTTTGTCGACGATTCTTCCGAATCGCGAATTCCCAACGTTCGGAAATTGTCAAAACTGCAAGGTAAAAAGCCGGAGCGAAAAGTGGAAGGGCGCCTCTCTGCTGAATTTTTTCGGATAAAACAGTAACCCTAACGGTAACGCTGACCCACCTTTGGACAACGCTTCATGGATTTTCTCCTCGCAAGCGTTCAGGTTATTTACGTATGTGGCATGATGTTTCTGATGATGAATTTGCATGATTTCGTTGCTGATGACAGGCTCCAACGCATTGTAGTCATACGGGAGATCAGGAAGGCTGTGCTTTGCTCTCGACCTTTATGAAAAAGAAATTCAATCGGCTAAACCTCTAGCAAGGGAAGGCCAGCAGAAAGAACAAGCAAAGCGACTCACGAAGAAAGCACGGATGAACGGCAGATCGAGCGAAGTGACCGAGATAGCATCACCTGAAAACCAAACCTATTCTAACGCTACTTAAATACAAACTTGTAAACTTCATCACAATTGAAGAGGCTACTGGAGCAATCTTACAGGGGCACGCTGCTAGACGATACCGCGGCCACTCTGGTCCTCTGCCACCCTCCGACACCGATCGTGTCAGAGGGAGGTACCGCAGCCTCAGTCAGAGGGCGCAGACGAGCAGGCTTGGGTGCGCATCGTAGCGTGCCCCCTCCTCTACTGGAGTAATTCCGAGCAATTTTAACGGCTATGTATCACGATTATGAAAACAGTATATATATCAAAGACGCACAGACAGCATTATTATTTACAAGACCACATCAATCCTTAATCTCATCAGATTTTCGAATGCCTTGTCCCTATGGCGGCCAGTTACAGTTTAAGTAAATGGTAACCAATATAAAAACTCTATGAGGCTATTTTGACCAATGGAACTCATGAAAATCACGATTACCGAGCGCCAGAAATGAAAATGAACACTTTCCAACTCCTTGGTAGAAAGTGGCGAGAAATTCAAGGCACATTCCACGATCATAATCATAGGTGGGGGGGGGGTTAGGGTCGGTCGGTAGGGGGAGGGGGGTAAAAACTAAAAGAGGAGAGGTGACTAACTAGAGGGGAAAAAGCAGAGGAAATCGTCAAAAGCGCGACTGAGTCCTTGATTATTGAACTTGATTCCACAAGAGAATCAGAGTGTTGTTGGGATTTTGGGCGAGAAGTTAAACAAAGGAGATGACAGACACCAACGGAGGGGTGGAGTCACTTGCGATCACATAGAGCTATTTCAGGAACTTAGCTCTTGATTTGGAGCTTTCTGGCGCGAAAAAATATATACTGCTGTGCCCCTGTTACTCAACTACATTTCCCCAAACAAAGCTTTAGTGAAATTGTTTCCGAAACTGCAGAAATTGAAAAAGACAAGCAGTCACTGCAAGAATGAGCTCTTATGTGCAAAAGTCTTGACCCCAGACGGGCCTCGAAGCGCGAGCGCTACGTAAAAAGCAGTTGTCATAAAAACAACTAAAAACAATTATTATTGGCCAAAGACAAAAGATATGGCAAAGACCTCACTTTACTCGAAGACAAAGAAAGCGGGTTCTGATCGCCTATCAAGTTTTTGGCACCTTTCTTTAGAGCTCTACTCATTATTCGAAATTCCTGACCTATTCCCCCACAAATGAAGAGTATGCAGTTGAGGGTAGGGAGGGGCATACGCTAGCAGCAAGCACTGAAGCCATGCGCTTCTCACGGGCATCCTTACAATCACAAAGCATAGATAAGCACATAGGGCGTTCACAGAACGAAATGATTGGACGTTCGATGACCGAAACGCAATCTTGCAGGACAACAGCGGCAAGAGTGCCCATTCCTGCTGATTCCTTCAGTTCGGCTCGTCAACAAAACGCTAATTTGAAGTGAGAAGAACTGTAAGAAATTCAGGTTGTAATTAGTACTATGGTCATCGAATTACACAAATAAAGGAACTGGTGATAGATTGTATAGGGGAGAAGCGTAAACGAATGAGCAAAGTTCAGTAAACAACTGAACGCACGAAGCGTTGTAACATTGCTGCGGCGGTTTCATTTGCACAACTGCACCACACCCTTCGACTAATAAAGGAGATACTAATGTGGAAGAAAAATGACCAGAAAGGAGCAGCTGTTCCTTAGTATATCGGAGAATTTTGCAAACACTTTGCAGACATCGATTTTTCGCTCTTGTCTATGCCCTCTCACGGGAAAGCTACCAGAAGAGCAGTTGTACTCGTATATCAATGAGTTAAGGGTGGAAACCGTGCTATATCAGAAGTCACAAGCTTTGGCCTTCCCCAAGGAGTCTATCCAGGGTCAAGCAGCGCCTTCTGTCATTTGTTCTCTAGTCAGCTGCCGGAGATGCAAAAAGTTATTTAAAACGTCTCGCAGTCCTGCACTTTTCTTGAACCAACTGAGAACATGACAACTGATGGTGGCCACGGTCTCAAGTGAATGGCCTCTACCCCAGATATGGCTCCGATTAGGTTAAAGACAAACTCCGCGATTGTATATTGTGGATGGTGGCATTTATTACAAACCCATAGTCGCTGAATGACATTCTAGGGAAAAAAGCAAAAAAAGTGGACAGCACGCTAGGTGAGGATGCGGCAATCTCTCTTGGGCGAGTTCTCCGGATCTGCTCGTATTGGGCCAGTGAAGCGATACCCTGCCCTTTAACCCAGTAAAATGGTTTCTTTGTGTCATCCAAGGCTAATATCATCTGATAACGGTGAAAAACGCGGTGCAAAAACTGAACTCATGGCATAAGATCCCCTTGAGTTTTGGTCGGCAGGACAATTAGGGAGGCGTCAGAACTGTCATTCAGAGGGCCCGTCTTCTTCACTTACTGCGAAGCTAGGAAAGTGGGACAATGTTGAAGACTGCGGACCAGACGTCCTGAAGGAGAAGGAGGTCCTATGTAACTAAACGTCGATGAAGAAAGCCACATTTCAACGTTAGGCCGCGTTCATACATGATGCAGAAATGCGGAATATGCAGAACTGCGGAATTTGCAGAAAGGAAATATATACGTATCGATCTGAAAACTGCATTTCTTCAAATTCCGCGGAATTTGCCGACATGCAGAAATGACGGACAAAGAATTGATAGGGATCGATTGGTTCTTCCCTGCCGTCGTGCGGAATTGGGAGAAATGCAGAATCTGCAGATTCTGCAGATTCCGCACGACGGCAAATTCGGGCTAAATGCCGTTTGGACTCCAGCAATTTCGGCACCGAGCTCATTTTTAAATTGCCTAAGTCACCAAACCCGCTGAAAACATGTACACAAGGGTTATTTACCATCGGCGCTGGCGCCAAGATGACACTACGATTACCTCCTGGGCTCAGCCTTAGCAGAGCGCAGATAATCGTAGTGTCATCCATTAGCGCCAGCGGCAAGAGTGAATGTCATATTCGTAATCAGGATGTTAAACTACCCCTATATACAAGTTTTTAGCGGATTTGGTGTTAGGCAATTTAAAAATGAGCTCGGTGCCGAAATTGCTGGAGTCCAAACGGCATTAGCCGCAAATTCCGCGGAATTTGCAGAAATGCAGAAATGACGGACAAAGAAGCGATAGGGATCGATCGGTCCATCGGCATTTCTGCAAATTCCGCACTTCTGCATATTCCACGGTTTTTGAAATCGATAGACATATTTTCTTTTTCTGCAAGTTCCGCGGTTCTGCAGATTCCACACGTCTGCAAATTCCGCAGTTCTGCACATTCCGTGGTTCGGCATTTCTGCATCATGTATGAACGCGGCCTTACGGATCGAATTGAGCGCCGTACTGACCATAGATCACCGTGGCGCAAAAACTGCCGGCGCGCTAGGTCATCCATCGGTCTGCAAAACTTGTAACTTGCCCGACATCAGAGAGCGCAATTCAAGTGCGCAAAGGATAAGGTAGAAGCTAGGTCACCATTATCGGAAGTTCCAGCGCTAAGAAGCATGCAAAAGGACGCTTCTTCATTTTTTCAGTTCAAGAAAACTACTAAAAATAAATAACGATGTTTACTCCCCACTGTAGGCGTCACTTTACTACAGCAAATCAAATAAACATTGCAGTGGAACATAGATTGATAGTTGATTTTGCCACTGGAAAGAACTGAGCAGATAGGTATTGATCGAGTTTCTGTAGGGTCTGCCATTGATCAACGATTACTGCGATAGGAACACGACTGGTAAACAACTTCAATCGATGTCCCCCAAAACAAAAACCACCGCGATGATAACCACGGCAAACACCAAATTCAAGGCTGCGTGGCCTGCAGAATGATGCAGGATCCTGCTGGCCTGGTTCGCACCCGTGCAGAGTGGGCACTTGGTCAGATGGCGAGGCGACGACCCAATGAGATGGCCGTAACAAACAGCGCCAGCACAACTTGCAGTCTTTTTTCTGCCGATCGATTACAACGTAAGCAGAGGCGTTGTGGAAGAGCACTTTTTAAAGTGAGCAAGCACAGCACAAGTGCTGGAATAGAAGGTAAAGTACAGGAGTCCCCCATAGAGAGGGGTGGGGGGGGGGAGCATTTGACCGTACCTCTGTGTCCCTTCCCCTAAACAAGAGGTGCGACCATACTTTGCGTCAGCGTTTCGAACGACTTAGAAAACATGAGTATTGATCTAGCGCTCTTCCGCCCGCGTTTGAGCCACTAGGAATGTATAGATATCGATTAACGCTCAAACGCTGGCAGACGCTCAAGAACGCTACATCGACCCCAGTATTTTCCTAGTCGCTCGGAACGTTTAAAACGCTGAAACGCTCAAAAACTGCCCAAATTATGCGGCCAAGTATGATGGTTGTTTGAGAGACGACCAGAGTCACACATGAGTGGCAGTCTTCACTAAGCCTAGACCCTCTGTCATGGGAAGGAACACAGAAGCGCGGCCGAGTACCCACTCCCCACCACGTTGGTGCTAGACTTAAAGGCAGCGTCCGCGATCAACCAAAGTGAAAAAACCCTCCAATGAAAACGAACGCGGAGTACGCAACCACAGCGGAAATCCCACTCTTGCGGCTCGAAATCGATTGGTTGACGAGGGCGGAGTCAACAAGGCTGAGCTGACGCCTCCTTCCCTGTTAATCCCGCCCCGACTGGTTAACAGTTATCAGTGCTTGCTGGCATTGATAAACGCTAAGTTTCTGGAGTTCCGAGGCGGCGACGTGTATTGGAGAACTCACCAAAGGTCTGCGAAACTCGTCCACATGCCTTAAATTTCGTAGGGTCTTATTTCACGCTCTTCCACACCTTTTTCCTACTTTTTTTGATTAGCTTCATTGGCCACCTGTTCTAACAAATTTGACCCCTGAGACCTGCCAAAGTCCATCGCGGGCGCTGTCTTTAAAGTTGAAGTGATGCATGGAATGCCACTCCAGCAAACAAGGCACCTCGGTCCAGACGTCGTGAACTTTTATTTTTCCGTCCAGTATAGGAGAGCTGGCGTGGAAATACAGTTCGTAACATTCCCAAGCTTTAGAAAACTGGTGCAAATTTGGGATTACTGTACTGACGAATTATTCCACCAAGTTACCCAGGTATTGTGGACAGGGCACATCGCGGCATGTCCACAATACCTGGGTAACTATCTATCTATTGTGGCATAGGTGCATTGAATTGATTGGGGGTTTAAGTCGAGTCTGCACGACACCCCGCCCCCCCCCCTTTTTTTTTGGGGGGGGTGGTACGACACCCTCTCCTGGTGGCCAAATATGACCCCCACTGGGATTCCCCAACAACGATGTGCCCTGATTGTGGATTATTTATGAACCTTGCCTCCGAAATCACGACATAATCCAATTTCGAATTTCTAAAGGTGTTAGCTCAGCTATTGGTATGAGCGATAACGAGTCACGCGAAGAAGTTTAGCCACCCCTTTCTTCCTGTTGTTGTTTACGCCTTCCCACGAACTCTGTTCAAACCAGAATGAAGGTGCAGCCAGATCGTTCAGCGCAGTCCACCTCCGAACATCTTTCAGAAAAAGCCGGTATCTATTTTGAATTCTTTTTAATGTTCGCAGAACTTACGGCAGGATTTGGCTCGATCAATACTCTCACCCTTCCACTTCTACCCTTAGCAGCTCAGTTCGCAGTAAGAGGGGGGTGGGCAACAAGTTGCAGAACTAGTTTGTATTGTGTCGAACATGAACACCGAAAGGGCTAAGTAGGTTCACGCTGCGTGGTTCAAGAGATGAAACGAGAAGAAAAGTGCAAAGCTACGGAAATGACAGTGAGCGTCAGGATCAATCGTCGAATTTATGACGTTTTCTGCAGTTCACGTAGGACCCTCCTAATCAGACGGAGACGTGTGTGCTTCAGCTGTCGAGCTTCTCGTGTAGTTCCATTGGCTTTGTTTGGTACGGTGAACATATTTTTGCTTGCTAGTTGCCCTCATGGCTGGAGTTTAGATGTAGGAACTTTGACTTAACTTTACTCTCTGATGCTCAAAGCTGAGAAGGAGTTTTACACTTTTATTACTTTTCTACTGATAGAAAGAGGCCTTGACCTTTGTGCAAATTCCACAATGTTTGAGTATCATGGTGACCACTATCAGTTCGCCAAAGGCTTTTGGAGGTTTTCTCAGGCCAATGGAACGTCTTTGCTTGTGTGGGGCAATGGCATGACTCATGGGTCAGGCGGTCATATCACGAGTCCTGCACATTCCTTCAATCATTAGGCTTTGTCGCACGAAATAATTTTCTTTTAACGTGTTCTGCTGGACGATAACTTCTGTTTTGTCCTGCTAATTACCTTTCGTTAGCTTTCCCATCGCCTTTGGTATGAACTGGCTTCATAGCTTGATTGTGTGACTAAACTAGCAGAAGCCTTGTCTGTTTTCTTCTGCCAACCTTCTCCAAGAGTCCACAAAGAAGGTTCCGTCCTTTCTCGTCATTTATGTGACTGCACACTCCTGATCACGATACCCTCTCGGGATAGTTATGGGACCATAGTCAGAAGTACTACTTGGGTCGTGTTCATAGTGTGCGAATGGGAGGAACAGGAGCACAAAAAACTGATTCGACGTTTTAAGAACCAAGGGTCATTTTCATTCGCTGCATCGGTTTCGCCGACTATAAGAGCTGCCTCGGTGTGACTGTAGCCTCAGCTGCTGCACGATAAGGGTTAATCCTGACTAGCAAGGTGCAATAAAAACTGCTTCTTCTTTGCATTTTCAACGAAGCACGCGAAGTGTACTGATCATCGCTGTTATCATTACTTTTTTAGCATCGCAGTTGGAGAGATATGATTGGTATAAATGATTTTGGAGCTGACTCAGTTGAATGAACCACTCGCCAGTGTCTTCGTAGTCTTTTTTCTGATAAAGGCTTAGGGTTGCTAGAGGCTACACATTCTGTACTCTCTGGTCGTCTGCGCTCCAGCCTGAACCTTTCTGGGGAAGGAGGAATGCAGAGGCGCGGCCGAGTGGCCTCTTCCCCCGGTCTCTCCCCGTCTTCGCGATCCGAAAGGTTGGATCGCGAAGTCTGAATGCGCTCTTAGAATATATGTTAGCCGCCAACCCTTCCTTCTTCCTTTTTTCCTCATTCCTTATTCCTGCCAGCTCGGTCAGGACAGAAACTCTGTAACTTGGACTTGTTTTCTCTGCTCAAACAAAGAGGAAAGCTTATTCGCCGTGATTTACTTTGCAAGGGCGCCTTCATACTTTGCGGCTGGTAGGAGTGGGGAACGCGTACCTGAGGAGTACATGAAAGACCCATCAATTCCTCTAATCTCCTCAGTCGCCAGATCGATACCTATGCTTTTCCTTTGACGCACACCCTCCTATTTTTACGATTCGCAAACAGGCTTGGAAGGGCGGGCTGGTTACATTTGTGGTTTTGAACAGCCATTCCGTTATGATTCTTATTCATTGAATTTAAATCCTTTTGCAGTAACTGTTCAAGTGAGACTGTACTTCGTGCTGTCAGATAGTGCTTGGCTGAAATATGATTTGCTAGGCAAGCACTTAGGATATATTATCGTGGTTGTCGTGTCCTGTTAAACAGTCTGGTAACATTAGCACTCGATGTCCTAGTTCCCGTTCCTTCTGTTTTTAAAAACGGTGAGCGATGGCTTAATAATATGAGTGACATTGTCACAAAAAGTGTTCATCCTAGTTCCCCTCAGTACTATTGGCTCACGGTTTATGGTCTTCGACATCGCTGCCTTTTCCCTCGTATTGAAAAACTTAGCAGTGATCGTTTCCTGGTCTGTCGTTAATTACTTTTACGCTAGTGACTACTAAAGTGATTTGCCTTCGGGTTCATTCTGTTCGCTACTAGCTAGTACTATGCGATCTTTGACGCACTCACACAGGGAAGCTATTGCGATGTAAGTACTGCCAATCATTAGACGCTAATTCCTTCGATTTGGCTCTAAGACTAAGCGATCCAGCGTTGGAAGTCGCCGAGTCTTTCAATCATTGGATCGCTCAATCTCCGCAGTCGCTAGACTGATACCCATGCTTTCCTCATCTCACAGTCTCTCAGGTTGGGCAATCTAGTATAAACGCGGCCTTACCACTAAGGCTTCATTCATACCTTATAATGCCATGGTATCGCGGACTCTAGGCTTCTGTGAAAGGAAAGTATATGTAACGATCCCGCGAGTGAGAGCTCAGACAACATGTATTTATTTTACTCTTTCATGAATACATAATCGACTTTTTTGGGGATTTTCTTGGGGATTCCGGGACTCTCCGGTTTTTTAGCGTCCCTGGGTATGAACGCGGCCAAATCGTTCTCATCCTAGAACAAGATCATGGCTTCATATTGCACATGTATCTCTATCAGAGCACGTACAAGGGGTGTACTTGGTCGCTGCGGTGGGGGTGGTTTTCGCATAAGAGCAGGATGTTTTCGTTTGTTGACTTTTCTCGGTTCTTCCTAGTGCAGTTGCGCTTTTTACACCCCTACCCAGCTCGACGTCAGTTTTTTTATGGAGAAGAGATTACGGTAAGTAGGATGGGGTAAGGGGAGGGGGTTGTATCGGAGAAAGAACTTGTGAGGACGGTCCTACTTTTCTAAGTTTTCCTAAACCGCAAGACGTGTTCTGCTTTCTGTTCTCTACTCCAAGTACCATTATCTCACATGAATTTTGGCTCGATTCCCTTTCCAGGAACATTTTTTTGGCGTTCTTGTCTGATTCAATCACTGAATTTTGCCCTTTATAACATTTGCATTACCATGATGTTTTATTTTCCAGCTAGGCGATCTCCGATAGCATGGTAAAGGAGGATGAGAGCGACTCCAAAGAAGGTTCTCAGAAATTCTGCATTGAAGTTGTCATAAAAAACCTAGAGGCCTCGTCCGATTACCATCAGGAAGACGTCGAGTTGTCATATTTCATAGGGGCCTATGAGGAGCTGAATAAGTAAGTTGCAATAGGCATATTGTTTTTGTTCAGGGATTCTACTTGATTCTTCTTATTCAGGTTCATCGGTCTTCTGGGAAAAATATTCCATTTTGTGCAAGCAGATGTTCGAGAGAAAACCAACAAGTTGCTCACTCTTCGCGAAAAGAATCCGGATTCTTACCGCAGTGTGAAGTCGATGATAACATACGAGAACGAGCAACAGCACTATCCTGGTTCAAAAGCGCTTCTTGGATTGCATCGGTTGTAATAGTATTCAGCTAACTCTCTAAGACCAGTGGCAGCTGAGCACTCTGAGCGATTTCTATTAGGTTGTCCGGAAAGTTCTCAGCGTTTTGTGTTACTATTTTTTGTACATTCATTGCTGATTAAAAACTCATTCTCCCTTGCGTCTCAGTAGTACATCCTGAAGAGAATTCTTTGCGCTATCTGATGGTATAATTGCCGTTTCACCATTTCTTGGTTGACCCCCTTTTTTCAAGAGTCTTTTCAAGCATGCCGTGCGACAATGGTTCGACAAATTTCGTTCTGGAGATTTCAGCCTTGAAGATGAACCTCGTAGCGGTCGACCTAAAGCAATACCTGACGAAGATTTGAAGGCATTTGTGGAGGGTGACCCATCCCAAACAGTTCGAGAGATTGCAGAAAGCTTAGGCGTTGGCAAATCCACTGTTGCGGATGGTCTGGAAAGCATTGGGAAGGTGAAAACTCGACGAGTGGGTGCCCCACAATTTGAGTGACCGGCAGAAATTGGCACGTCTTGTTCTTGCTTTTGCACACATAGGAACGACCTACGAACAGCTTTTGGACCGAATTTTTCACGTGTGATAAAAAGGAGATCATGTATGATAACAGGAGACGTTTTGGTTGGATGCCGGCGGACCCCTGAGGCAATTTCCAAAGCCGAATCCTCACGACAAAAAGGTTATGGTCACAGTGTGGTAGTCATCGGCTGGTGTGATCCACTATAACTTTTTGTTACCAGGCCAAACCATCACAGCAGAGTCCTACTGTGAAGAAATCGACGAAATGTACCGAAAATTGCGTTGTCAGCTGCAGCCAGCACTTGTCAACAGAAAGGGTCGATTCTTTTGCATGACAACGCCCGCCCACATGTTTCACAAATCACTATCCATAAATTGAACGAATTGGGGGTTGAAGTTCTACCACACCCACCATATTCTCCAGACCTTTCACCAACTATCACCTTTTCAAACATTTTCAGAACTTCCTTGCTGGAAAATACTTCATCAATCAGGACCAGGCAAAAAAGCCTTCGTGGATTTCGTAGATTCTCGACCACCCAGTTTTTTTTTCCTTTGATGGGATTTCTCGACTGGTGTCACATTGGCAGAAGTGCGCTGACTTCGGAAGCGGTGCTTATTTCGATTAAATCCGATGAGTATTAAAAAAGTTATGATCGTTTAAAGTGAAACACTCAAAACGCTGAGAACTTTCCGGACAACCTAATACCTTTTGAATCAGTCGTCCTGCTGTTTCTAACCAACAGGGTAGAGAGTGTATAGGTAGGTAAATTGACTGAGGAGCACTTCCATTCCCTTCGTCAAACCAGTGAAGGAGAAACTGTTATCCATTAGTAACAGTAGTCTAAGTTACATGACTCTCGAAGATGGCCAATTGCAGTGAGTTTGCCGAGTCCTTCCAGATAACCTTGAGGAAACGCCCTCGAGTTCAAACTGCTCTTATCTGGGAGAGATTGAAGTGGTTTTTGCCTAGTTGATACCTACCCAAGCCATTGCTCAACATCCCTGACACGCTAGATCATTTTCTGAGCATTGATTCTGCCAGCTTCCTTTTCTTTGGTTCTACCTATGTGAAAATGTAGAATTTCTTATTTCTTACTTCAATTCCAGAGCGCTGGAGTTCATCGCAGCCTTTATCGCCGCTCTAGCTGAAAGTACCAACGACGATAGCCGTGGAAATTCAATTGTCGCAAAAGTTACGAGGGAACGCTATCTAGGTCTGTTTTGGTCGTTATTAGGTTTATTATGGCTCTACCAGGGAAGAATCGAATCTTCTTCGTTCTTGGAATAAGTGCGTTCATGAATAATTGGGTCCACTGTGTTAGGCCGCTTTCATACTTTCCGACTAAGGAGATTCGGCGATCAGGAAGAACTGTCGAGCGATTGCGCGCCGAAAGTTTACATGGGGATCGACCGGCACCGATCATTACTCCATTCACTACGTTGACGCGCATTCGCTCAAAACGCCGAGTCGCCCTAAACGCCGGATCTGCCCAGTCGCAAAGTATGGAGCGCCTCAGTAAAGTATCTGTGAGTTAGTTAAAGGGTCCTGTTTTCACATCGGAGCGTGACATAGACTTATCGACGCAGTCGGCGAAAGTACTTGTTGGCCAATTTCCGAGTAGGGCATGGTGGATAGGCTGGGCTATAGTTTAAAGGCAGTTGGCACGATGGTTTCCTACTTAGCCTAAAATGCTAGTAGGGCGCTGTATAGTGGGGAAATGGCGAAAGAACGGAGTGAAACGGTCAAAATCCTGCGAAGAAAAAGCCTCCGTTCTCAGTGACTTGTAAATCGATTTCGGACGAGTTTCCCGTAGGCATCTTACCAATCACCGCTACCGATACGGCTGCATATGTGTACCCATGTATGCATGCAGCATCACGGCCGCTTCATACCAATCCCTTCGCTTCATAATTTGCTTAGCAAATGAATGAATACGAGCGTCAGGAACGGTCGTCCATTTGTGGGCGGGCGGGCGTGGCGGGCGTTTGGGACGTAAAGTTGTGGCTTGATAGGGCCCTTATAAGGGCACCTTCCTCGGGAAACCGCTATGCAGCGCCTGCCCAGGGCGTGTAGAACGATGGCATAATTATAACCTCCAATCGCAGACTTTCAACAGTTCCATTGCTCCATCGGTTTCAGTCTCAAATATTGAAATGATAGCGCGATATTAAGGTTTCACAACTGGATGTTGCGAAGAGCTGTCAGTTTGGCGTCCTACACTCTTCCATCTCGTGGCCAGCTCATCATGTCCATCCATGGAGATGTACCCGAGGAAGATCATGTTCGTACCATTCTCACAAATGTTGTAGATAAAACACAAGTAGTGTACAGTCGTGTTGACAATATCTACTCTGAATATGACCTCCACTCATTGTTATGATTCGTGCCTTTCTTTTAACCATGAAAATTCACTGCATTTGTCGATACCGTGTTTTTTGTTTGTCCTGGGTGCACTTATCACCACTGTATGTGGTCTTTCCACATCCAAATATTGATCCGCTTTAATAGTTTTTAGTTTCACAGGTCACAATGCCATTATTGCAATAATCATTTTCTCAGATCTTCCCTTGCCAAGAATTCCATTGTATTATACGACTCTTGTCATAGACATTCAATTGTTTTGGGATAAAGCTAGTTTCCTCGTAAATCTTAATCCATGCCGACAGAAGTCCTACGGTTCTTCCTTACCTGAACGTGATCGAAGAACATGCAGAAAATTTCATTCAAAGACAATTTGAGCAATTTTATTTTCAAGCGATGCCACCGAGCTCTGACGACTGGAGTACATGTTCTCTTCAGAGTCTCCCAATTGGCTGCGTAGCCTTCGATCCAACAAATGCGTAAGTTTTCTTCTTGTAGAAACCCTCCAATTTGACAGAGATATAATGGCATGCCGGAAGTTCGGAATACTTTAAGAATGAAGCCCGAAGCTACGCCACGGATCAATCCCATGCGGCGCGCTTTCTTCTGTCATTCAGAGTCGTACTGGGTTACTGGAATGCCGGACTTCTATACAAGGACTAGCGAGTTCCAGCCAATGAACAACTCAGTGTTCTCGCCCTCCTAGACTAATTCGGTACCATTTTACCGTCCCCGGGGGTTAGAATGCCTGATTGGTATGGGCGGGAGCCGGCGGGATTCGATTCCCTACGCGCGCGTGATAAGCGTGCCGCACTTGTCACTAAACTACATCCGCCTTTGGAACAAGTCTCGCACGTAGCAGCATCGCAGGGTACGGTCGTTCAGTGCTGTACGAGGAGATTTGTATTCTAGGCAATAGGGAAGGGTCTCATAGTTGATTTACGGGAAAGAGTTGCTCAAGTGTGGAGGGACATAGTAATCTCGGAGGAAAAGAGTGTTCTGAACTTTTGTGCTGGCAGTTTATATCCTCCTCACCCGTCGATTAGCTTTTTCGGGAGGTTTGTGTAGGCAATGTTGTGCTTTTGACTAGAAGGGACCGTGCCTAATGGCCAGTTCTCTGTCCCCAAATCGCAGTCCTCACCCGAATCGCAATGGTGCATGATCGCTCTGCGAATGTGTATATGTCCTGGAGAAGTACTCACCTCCAGCGCGGCATTTTACGAGGGCTCGTTGTTTGTCGTAAAATATTTCATTCATTGATAAATGGGTTTGTTGTTCCGATGCAGTACGCAAACGTTAAGCTCTTACCCCGGATTGTCAGGCTTGGCGGTTTTATTCTGCATTTCTACAACTGAAATGAGACGGTGGTGATGTAGTGGCATGTGATCCCCTTACCGGATACGGTCCGGGGGTCAAATTCTGGGTCGGCTCCTGCCCAGACCAGCGAAGCCTTCACTGACGTTAAATTGGTGCCAGGTTCGTATGGGAGGATGAGAACACTGACTTGTTAATTAGCTGCCCCTCCCCAAATCCTTGTATAGGAAATACCGTATAAAATCACCTACTGCGATTCTGAATGAAGAGCCTGCGAGCCACATCCCAAAAAGGATTGATCAGCGACAGTAGCTTCATGTTTTCCATGCTTTACCCTATTATAATTGAAGTACGTGGTATCGTGGCGAACAGATGAGTATTTTCAGATCCAAAGTCCCCAGAGGCCCAGTTTTTGACCCCAGAGGCACCGAGTTGCTTGGCTTGAAAATGCCTACAGTGATATAAAATTTGTCACTTACAATATACTTACAGAATCGCTGCCACTTGTGCGGGACCTTCTTGTATTCTTTATGCAACGTCGGATGGAAAGCGTAAAGCAGTACTCAAGCATACGGATGACTTAGTGTCTGCGTTTTTCGTTACTCATGAAAAGGTATGATTCCATTCTCGTAGCAAATTCATTAGGCGTTCTGACTGTTTGTGAAAGCTAGTTATTTTAGCTGGTTACCATAACAAAATGTGGTGATATGATCGAATGGATGAAATCGGGAGACACCTTTGAACAAACGTCGTCCGACCGGGTCACTTCGTCCCCTGTGTTGTAAGTATTTTCATGACTACCAATAAACTTTTTTAAATGAATATTTCCAGAAAAGCCTTCTACCTGCGTGAGGAGGAACGCTGTGTGATTGTTACTGATCAAAAAGCGCATATTACTGTTTCAAATGTGGCACGAGATAAATCCCTGTCGCAGATCGCTCAGCTTCCTGTTGGGCTTAGTTCTGAGCAAATAGCCGTCACGGTAGCCACGCTTTTCTTTATTCCGTCAAGTTTAGGAAAATGTGTAAGTGTGATTTTAGAGCAGCTTCGTGGCGTACTGTAGTGGTAAGGAAGTGTTTGTAATTCCTACCGATGAAAATCCATCGTTTTCTGCTAGTAGCTACCTATGCAAAACTCATATCGAAGGTTTGTACATTTAGACCTATTGGTTTCAGTCTTTCCGAACTATGATATGAGAGATTTCAGGGTTTGGTGATCGAAACGCATCCAACGTTTTTGTAAGGATCACGGCTTTAGGAGATACGATTGCGGCCACACTAGCCATTGGAAGAGTTTACGTTTGGTATGAGCAGTTGGGACGCCTTAATACTTCACGGAAACCACGATCTGGGAGAATGCCCGATTAGGAAGGATCAAATTGAAATCGTTTGGTGCCGCATGAAGGTGCTGGTGGTAGGAGTCGGTTGGTAACCCTCACAGCTGATCCTCCAGAATCGCGCATCCTTCAGAATCACGGGTTTCCAGAACAACACCTGTGCGTTCCTTTTTGTGCATTCTCCCGAATCGCGGATCCCCTACATTCACCAAGTTGAACGCGGCCTTACTATGATTTTCTTGTCTCATCCTTTCCGCGGGAGACGGCCAAGACAATCGTAACTTGCCGCTCCCCTGGATAAGAGCGCCGCATTTCATGTAGACTACGACATCATAGACACATATGGGTTTCTTGGTTATACATTAGTCTTCAGATCGCCTTTGCGATCGAGAAACCCGTCATGTTGTGGGTGCACATCGCACGCGACGTTCCATCTATCTATCTCACGGCACCCCCTACGATTTGTCCTTGTGACAATATCTTCATTTCAAATATTCCATCGAAATACTTCTAATACAGCATTGATTAGCTGAGGAAAATGCTTAAGTTGTTCAGGTTGACTGTAACAATTGCAGGTCTCATGTCTCCCAGAAAGGTATACAAGATTCTGCGTTTTCAGTGCACTGGCACAAGGTTTGTTTTTCTTTCTGTAAAATTCATCGAAAAGCTCTTACAAAGCAATCAGGCAATGATTCCCACAACGATGGGCATTTAGGTTGCTCCCAGTATTGCACTGACTCAATTCGGTGGTCTACTGTCCGCAGGTGCCGAGACCGTACTTTGCAAGTTCACTCTGAGTGGCGCAGGACGACCAAGCATGTTGCCTCATTTGGCAGCTCCCGTTCGAGACCTCGCGATTTCTGACGATGCCAGTCATCTTGCTCTTATATTAGGTATATCATTTTCTGAGCCGCACTAGAGCTCCTGATAGTTACTTCTTTTCGAATTGAGTTTTGTAGAGGATAACTCGGTACATGTGGTGCTGACGTCAAGTATGACCGTGCTTTCTTCTCTGCAAACAGTGGTCACATGTGGTCGCTCTCTAAACACAATCTTCTGGCAGGCTGTAAGTTTGTCCCCTATTTAACGTTTATGTTCTTTAGAATGATGCTCAAAAACTTCCTCGAAACCTTTGTATTCAAGGGGTCCTAGTAATAAAAGCTGGAACGGCGATTCTCTGTCGTTCAAAGGATTTTTGGTGAATCTTGGAGCTGCACTTGCTTCCTCTTCAGTGATTCAACGCTAAATTATATTTAAAAGGGGCCACGACGAACTCCGCTCTTCTAAGCTCTATGAGTTGCGCCCAGATTCTGGTGTCTGCTCTTTTCTAAGCTGAGCCTAGGGGAGGGGAAGGACATCACTGCCTTTACGTTGCCAAGCTCATGTTGCCTCAACCACGGTAGCGCCAGATTCTCGCTGATTTGGCTTATTCTCCTACATCAATACTTCTCCTATCGTTCCTTTACGGCATTTTCCCTGTTTCACTCCTCTTTTCTTATACAAGGAAACCGCTCGTTCTGTCTGCTTATCAGGAAATGGATTCAGCCCGCTCTCCTGAGCAGCATTCGTGCTTTGTGACTCGCTTTTTGCGAGAGTCAGCGCTTTGAGAAAATCGACGTTGTGAGCGAAAAAGAAGAAATGGAAGGATCGAGCGTTTTAGGCGGCTGATTCGCTATTGATGCTATCTTTTAAAACCTGAAACGCCCGATTCGCCTTAAACTCTAATGTTTCCTAAAAAAGGTTGAATCAAGAACGCTGATTTTTCGAAACCCCGAGGCGAAGTTTTCAAGGGAATCCGCTACAAACGCAGCCTCTTAATGCAGTTCACCAGTATTTATTTCTCGTTTTTTTTCACTCACCTTTCTATCTTACCACTTTATTTCTTTCTATCGCTCAGTCGCCTAATCTTTTTCTTCTGATTTTCCTCTTGTTCATCGCACTTTGGCTCTTTTCTACCTGTGATGGTTTTATCTCTTTTCTATTTCGTATAAGTCCTTCCTTTTGCTCAAAACACTTTTCCTTCTTCACTAATTGAGTCGTCCATTATAGCGTATTTGAGTTGAGTTTGTATGGGTAATTCTGTGTGTCTTCATTCGGTCTCAGCTGTTCCAAACAACTGTTTTTAAGCGATCCTCTTTCACCTGGAGCACTAGTAATGAATGGTAAACCTGGCTCTTTGCAGTGGATAGATTGTGAGAAATCATTTACTCGTCAACAGGTTAGTCTTTGTCATCCTAAGTAATGCTTACAAAAGGAAAAACTAGTACCTGGAATATGCCAGGTGAATTATTTACCTGTGGCTGTAAGAGACAACTCATTGCTTGCAGTGCACAAACTGCTGCAAATATTTACATCCTTCTAGTTACCGAAGATTTATGAGGTGGCCTTACCCTTCAAACATGTCTCTCACTGGACGTTTCACTTCCACTTTACATGTGAAAAAGATTGATCCGTTTATTTCAGGTTCATTTTTCATTAGAGAATGTGGCCGATGGTGACATGTCGTTCACTGGTATTACATCAACTTTTCCGGATGTGGAACAAGTGTTTTTCTCAGATTCAATAGTTGTCACTTTAGAGCGGATTATCAATTTTGAGGAGGAGCATGTGAGTTTGGAGCCGAATTGCTTCTCTTTTGACTTGCTGTTCCACCTTTTCCCGTTTCATAAGAGTGCGACCAACTTGCAAGTGGCGTATAGTATTCGAGATGTTCTCGCTCGATGTTTTAGAAAGGGCGCGGGAGGTGAGGAATCGTTAACAACTCCAGAGTAGGGCTCTCTGGGATGGGAGTCTGGTGCAGTCCGGTTCGTTGGGGGGGGGGCGCCATGATACAATTGAGACCTGTAAATCAACGTGAATGAGCAAAATAACTAGCGAAAGTAGAAATTGCCTCTCTGGAGCCCGACAGCACCGGGAGTCGTATATGGCTTATAGATAGGGGTCTGCATGAACCCGAATGATTGAGAAAATTATGAGCAAGACTTAAAGTTTCACCGTTTTAGCTGCAACCTAGACCTCCCGGGCTTGAAATGTTGGTTTAGTGCCACTGGGTTAACCAGGATTTATCGACCTGACTCGAATCGACATGAAAGTAATTTTTGCGTTTAGCCTTGTTATTCCAATTTCGTGACTGTTTTCCCTATTGAATAAGCGAAGACATTACCGTCTGCCTACCGTCTAGAGGACAATGCCATAAAAAGACTTGCTGGAACATAACCGCCCATAATGAGATATTTTCAGAAAAGGCGGCTTCGTTTTTGGAAGAGGAATAAAGATAATGAAATGACTGTGCAAGTTCTGGATTCTTTCATTGTCCCCAAAGACACCATCTCTATGTCTGGGCCCAGAACCAGCTCATCTATGATGAGAAAGTGAGTTTCGCTGATGGTATCAAGTTGATTGATCGTAACGTGAGAGGTCTAATGTGAAGTTTTAGATAATTTTGTCAATTATGAGCAGCGGTAAGGTGGACGTGTGGATTCCACACGACGAAGGCACACGGTTCAAATTGGACCCGACTCGGCATCTTGATAGGGTATGTCACTATTTTTGATCCTTTTGGGCACCATTTGCCAATAGTGGTCTCACCTTTTGAATGTACATCGGGGTTTCATTGAAAAAAGCTTCGCTCACAAAATGATTTCTAGTTCGCTGCGGATGAAGGGGCGTGTCAGGCAGTATAGGTGCCACGGCTCCAAACCGTTCTCTGCCAGTTGTTGAAGCGGGTATGCGACAACAATTGGTAGAAAACGAGTGATACGAATGATATGTAGTGTCTTATCACTTGCTCGCTTCAACACCTGGTGGAGAACGGGTCTCGCACCGCACCAAACTCGCCTGCCCGACACGCCCCTTCGTCCGCAGCGAACTAGACTAGAAAGCCCTTTCGTTTAAATGCGTTGTTTTCTTTTCAGCGGTACGCGTTCCATGCCGGATCGGCAGTGCACAATAATATGTGGGCGTCTGCTCACCCAGAAGGCGAAAATGGCACTGATGCTGTCATTGTCTGGGATACAACCGATGTTAGTTACTGACAGTTACGGTTTTGAGATCAATCCGTTACGCTGTCGATTTAGATGAGTGAAATGGAAGCGTTGCGAACAGATGGTCGTGTTAGCTCTGTTGAATTCGACGGCAAAGGCCATCTGATATGCGCCACGGACAAATCTGTACGCTGTTGGAGGCATGTGGCAATGAGATTTGAATTTTTATGGGTGGTGGAACAGTCTCTTCGAATATGTGTATCGCCCGTGGGAACCTTTGCATGGTCCGAAAATACAGGTGAGTTCTAGGTTTGCTACCTTTGAAGGCTCATTTCGCGGTTACCTTGTGGACAGTTCTACCCTCCGTATGGTACGCCTACCCTCTTTGTCTTATCGAAGCGAGGAGCGCACTAATGATGAAGGCAAAAAGGCTATGAGTTACACCGATTTCTCTGCCCATTCGGTTGTGGTGGAATGTGTCTTTAAGGCTGTAAACCTTTTTTTAGACATTTGCATCTCAGCGAGTAGATGGACGATCAGAGATCTGCAGTCGGTTCGTCATGAGGGGGGCGGTCCTGCGTAGGTACGATTTACGCAGCGCCATATCGTTCCCAGCAGTCGTGCCACGTCAAAAGCTATGTATTTCGGAACGCCTCCACTTGACGCTCCGATGAGGACTGTACAGTTTTATCGCTGCGGACGCTGGGGTGGTCAGGTTGCTGGGTTTGGCGCAATGCCAGCCAGTTTTCCACCAATTGTGGTCACCTGTCAGCTCCCACTAGTCGTGCGGGGGCGTCGCGCCAATCCTCATCCCCCCCTAATTGCCACAGCATCCGCAGCGAGCAAGACCGTATGCC